GCTCTGCTAAGGCTGATTATTAAGGCGCTCTGCTGTTTCCTGTGCTCTGGTGTCCTTTACCATTATTAACATGTGCCTCTATATTGATCAAATTATATCAAAGAGTCTCTTTATCTTATACTCGGTCTATAACATGTCTATATTTCCTTTGACCTGACTCTCACTGTTTACAGACATTTAAAAGCAGCACACAGATCAACGCTCCACATCTGTTATTTTTTGCATGTACAATTCTATGTAAATGGTGTAATATGTACATTAATGTTTACATTTTTCACTTAAATGAACTTTTAAGGCGTCACCAGAACAACTACTACATTGAGCATTTCTATACAGTGAGCCAATCAGCAGTGAGGAACAGGACCACCTTTAAGTGAGAAGAACTAAATTCCACTGTTTCAGACATTTAACTTACTTGTCCAAGAAGTCTTTGTCCACTATAGCACAGATGTCCAGTAAGGGATTTCCCATCCCAAAGAGTGAATTAGGGCTGCAACATAAAGATTTAGTGTTAAAACAAAAGGCTTGGTTTTAACCTGACAGTACAGACTGGCCATCTTCCTTCCTTCCCTCAATATAACATCAGTATTTTTACATTAATTCATGTCAGTAACAAGGGGAACATCCTGCAGAGTCCATGTTACCTTGGCCTTTGTCTTTACTTTCTGAAGCTTCTCCTAATAAGCCAACTGGATTGGAAATCAGTTACAGGTTTAGACTGGTTGGCTGAGGTTACTGTGTAGACAGGACTTTATAATCCATGTTTTCTCACACCACTGAGTGTGCTGAGTTTTTATCCCACTGTTCATTTGCAAAACACACATTTTCGTTTCCATGTTAAGTGAGTAATTATATGATTTAAAATCTTCAACTCACACGGAAAGCAAAAACAGATATGGTAGATATAGTTTCGACACACGACTCATCAGTAGAATAGCAATGTGGCCAGCAGTCAGACACACTGTGTCAGTCATGCATACAACCATGTTACGACATAACAGCATTCTTTTCATTTCTGGGGCAAACAACCGAGTGCAAGCTTTGACTTGGGATGTCAAAATACATCAACACTGGCTTCACTGAGACTCACCAAAATGGGATAATGACTTAAGGCGCCTCTGTACTTTCCACTGGAACTCATGACGCATCAGTAAGCAGTTGGATCAGTCTGCAACTTTTGCTTTTCTATAAGCAAATAGTGAAGCATCTCTGAGTAGAGCTGCAAAAGCACCAAGAGACTATGGTAGCAGATCACTCCTGTCCTGCTAGTCTTTGATGTCAACACAATCTTGTCAGTGTACATGGGAAAACCCCAGATGGAACAAGTCATTGCACACAGCAGCCTTGACAGATGCCACCTCCACGTGAACATTTGCTGGCTTTTTTTTTTTTCTTCAAAGATTTAATGCAGCAAGAAGAAGCAACACGGAATAAGGCTTTTGAAAAAGCAAAGTGAAAGGAGACATAGATGCCCAGCAGACAGTGACTTCTGCTGTTCACTGAACAGAAAATGCATCCACCCGGCAGATGACACACCCTGCAGCACATACATCTGCAAAAATGGAGTCAGATGATTACTGGGCTTGTGAAATCAATTACACCAAAAAAAAAAAGAACCCATATCTGCCTTCAGATCAATTCTCCATTTACCACCGTGGTCTTACCTTGCAGCAGACATGGTATCCCTCGCTCTTTGTGTACCAGCTACACACTGACAGACCTGTTGTCCAAACTAAACCCGGCTCAGAAAGAGCTATACATTCTAAACAAAAAAACTTGACAATTTCAGCTCAATGTGCGATCAGATCGATTTCCCCCTGCAACCACAACAACCCCTACTCCAGACTGATTAAAGGAGGAAGGGCCAGGTCCGTCTCTGTCTGGTGATTGGCTTGTGCTGGAGCTAAATTACATGGTACGATGCATCCTGGAAACACCACGGTATGACCACAGCAGGATTCGGTCAAACTGAATAAGGAAGCCGCTGAGTGATACCACGTTTTTTTTTCTTCAGGAAAACCCACAGAAACATCACTTAACCACAGCCACGTGACTGCTGCGTAATTTACTGGTTTGGAAGCTCAGGACGGCTTTCTCTACAGCAGTCGTCGTTAATACATGCAGCGGAGCGATTCCCTGGCACGGAGCGGAGGGAGTATTGCTTTCTGCACCTTTTAAACATGCAGGGGCAGGTGGTGGTCAAGCTTAGATTAGATATTGGCACAACTACCTAAAAAGCACGCAAGAGTTAACGTTATCTGAAGACAGCACAACCTCTTAGCGCCCCTTTTACAATCAGCTAACCATCAGCCAACGTTATAGCTGCGGGGTAAAAGTTTACGTTACATCACATAACGTTAACCTTTCACCGGTCGTTATAAAAGACCTCTACTCCGCCACCACGGTGGTCAGACAGACATCTGATGGTCTCAAGTAACCCAACATTGTTAAACTCATCATTTCATGCACGCATTCGTGAAGCAGCCTAACACTGCAAAACTAGCATTTAAGTAACTCAGAGGAGTATCATTCCCCCCCCTCCCGCTCCACACAGGACAGTTTGTTAGCTTTTTATATTTGTTTGTATCTTTCGGTCACCTTAGTTTGACAGGAGTCTTTTTAGTCGGAGACTTCGTCTTCTCCCCCTCTGAAAGTTTAGGTTTCTTTGCTTTTGGCTCATCAGAAGCCATGGTTGACCAGACACACGTTGCAAACTAAAACGAACCGGTATGAAAACGCGGTGGTGATATTAGTAACGGAATCTACAGCCCCGAGCAACGCCGAGAAGGAACCGCCTTATCCCGGATGTGTTACGCCAGAGCTCCACCAATCAAAAGCCTTACTTTTTGAACACGTGGCCGCCTACTTTTTTTCCAGACACGTGGAATTTTTTTTGGGCTTTCTCTTTTAACACGTACAAATTTTAACACTGTGTATATAGTGAAATATTATCAACATCATGTACGAATACATTTTTAGGAAATGCAAGTTTATTTGTACTTTCAACACACAAAAAAAAAACTATACAAAGTGCTTACACCATGAATGTAATACTGAACCTATACCCATTGGGCTTAGGGGTCCTAAAGTCTAGACGTTTGCAGAACAAGTTGGGAGACCATTGTCTCATAATCCATCCCTGCATAAGACATAAAAGGTATTAAGACAAGATATATGTTATAGAAATTCTGTTATTAAACATGATTTATGCTATTTAATGTGTTTTAAAATTTCAGAACAGAACCATGTGAGAAACTGGCTATGTAGGCCTGAAGCAAGTTTTCTATTTTTCATATGAAACTGTGTACTGTGGTATACTCGACTATGGACTGTTCCAGATGAAGCGAGACACAACCGTCAACTGTAGGATAAGCATGTGTCCCAGTATGATTAATGTCTTAGTTGTGTTATCAGGGTGTGCCTTTTCAACTATATTGTGCTGTTTGAATCAATTTTACTCAGACAACTCTCTATGCTCATACTGACTTGTCTCCTTGCTACAAGTAAACTAATTACAGAAAAAGATTCCAGTGACTTCGTTGCTTCATTAAAAATTATTTTGACAATATATAAGAAATGCAACCTGCATATTGAGAACTTTTACTTTTTAGCATTTTAAGCATGTTCAGAAAGGCACCAAGCCCAGATGGCATCACCCCCTCTTGCCTGAAAGTGTGTGCTGATCAGCTGGCCCCCATCTTCACACTCATTTTCAACAGGTCACTGGAGCTGTGTGAAGTCCCCTCCTGCTTCAAACCCTCCACCATCATCCCAGTCCCCAAGAAAACTTCCATCAGTGAGCTGAATGACTACAGACCTGTCGCCCTGACATCTGTAGTTATGAAGTCCTTTGAAAGACTGGTGTTGGCCCACCTGAAGGACATGGTAGACCCCCTGCTAGTCCCCCTGCAGTTTGCCTACCGGGCAAACAGGTCAGTGGACGATGCAGTTAACATGGCACTGCATTACATCCTGCAACACCTCAACTCCCCAGGGCCCTATGCACTGGGACTTCAGCTCCGCATTCAACACCATCATCCCGGACATCCTCCACTCCAAACTGACCCAGCTCACTGTGCCTGCCCCCACCTGTCAGTGGATTACTAGCTTTCTGACAGACAGGAAGCAGCAGGTGAGGCTGGGGAAAACCACATCCAGCACCCGGACAATAATCACAGGTGCCCCTTAGGGATGTGTGCTCTCCCCTCTGCTGTTTTCACTTTACACTAATGACTGCATCTCGAAGGACCCCTCTGTAAAGCTCCTAAAGTTTGCTGATGATACATACATATGGTCATCGGTCTTATCCGGGACGGCAACGAGTCAGCCTACAGACAGGAGGTTGAGCAGCTGGTCCTGTGGTGAATCTGCAACATCCTGGAGCTGAACACGCTCAAAACAGTGGAGATGACAGTGGACTTCAGGAAGAGCCCTCCCACCTTGCCCCCACTTATCATACTTGGCAGCACTGTATCAGCAGTAAAGTCCTACAAGTTCCTGGGCTCCACCATCTCCCAGACCTGAAGTGGACGTCCAACATCAGGACCATTACCAAGAAGGCACAGCAGAGGATGTACTTCCTGTGCCAGCTCAGGAAGTTCGACCTGCCCCAGGAGCTGCTGATACAGTTCTACAGAGGAATCATTGAGTCTGTTCTCTGCACCTCCATCACTGTCTGGTTTGGCTCAGCAACCAAACAGGACAAGTACAGACTTCAGCAGACAGTCAGGACTGCAGAAAAGGTCAGTGGTGCAAGCCTGCCCTCCATGGAGGACCTGTACACATTACGCTTATGCTGGTTTACCGTTTACTTGCCCCTTGCATGGGGATATGTACATGCACATTGAGAGCCGATGTGCCAGAGTCAAATTCCTCGTGTGTCTGACACACCTGGCCAATAAAGCTGATTCTGATTCTGATGTTTTGATACTAATACTTTTGTACTTTTACTTAAGTAACATTTGGAATGCAGGACTTTTACTTGTTAAAAATTTACTTGTAACTTAGTATTTTCCCACTGTTGTATTGCTACTTTTATTTAAGTAAAAGCTCTGAGTACTTCTTCCATCACTGTTAATTTATTCACTTTTTTTTCCTCCCCTATCTGTCTGTTTTGTTGATGATTATTTATAACTGTTTCATCTGTGCTTGTTTTATCTAGGAATGTACAGTAAATATATAATCCTAAAGTTAAATCAAGTTCTTCAAATTATGATAGCTATTTTTACATCTGAAAACTAACATTTAAAAAAAAGTGAAGTAAAACTTATTCTTATACACAGTTAAGTTTATACCGTGGGAACACCTGAATGTTAAACTCAGGGCAACAAAGTCCCAAATAATTACATACTGAGCCGGGGTTTAGCTGCCCACAAATATCGCCGGATTAAAAAGTCCGAAACTTTGCTCTGAAAATACATAACATCTTGACATTTTAGCTATGTAATATCTAAAACATACAAAACAAATGTCAACACGTTACCAGTAGCAAATGGGGTCTTTTGATTTATCGATATGAGCTCGTGACTACGTTGTGTTTCTCTGTGTATAGATCTGCAGGCGTGTCGTCAGCAGCTCAAACAGTTCTGCCATATTGGCACCAAGGAGTATATTGTAGGCACACTCAGCTGGAGTTAAAAGGTAAAACTTTAACAGCTTTTAAACTTTGTATACATTATCCTTTGTTCCCTTTTTGTCGCCTCTCACTGTCTAGTTTATTTGTTGCTCCAGTTTTTAGGATTAAGATGCAGAAGGTAAAATGTTCGAAGTTGCCAGTGTCAGATTGCTAACTTAACCAGACAGTTAACTGAGGGTGGAGTTAGTTTGGCAGAATGAGAATAGGTAAATGCTGACAACAAATGACACTGCTTTACAATTACATTTGAATTGTTGTGATTTATGAACTAATACATGACAAGGACTGAAGGTTTAAAAGCAGATAATGTAATGCCTCTCTGTCCCTGTTTGTTACTCACAAACAGAACACTTTAACAACAACAACAGGCTCGTTGTGGCAGCTGAGATGATCCACAGTCTGTTCCTGATTAATCACTCAGGAGACATCTTCCTGGAGAAACACTGGAAGAGTGTCATCAGCCGGAGTGTGTGTGATTACTTTTTTGAGGTGAAGGAGAAGGCAGTGGAGCCGGAGAATGTGCCCCCAGTCTTACAGACCCCACACCACTATCTCATCACCATCTACAGGGGCAAACTCTTCTTCCTCTCTGTCGTTCAGACTGAAGTCCCTCCACTGTTTGTCATTGAGTTCCTACACAGAGTGGCAGACACATTTCAGGTGTGATTAAACTCTGTTTGTTTTGCTAGATAGATGCCACCATTTATAAGATAGGCATGTGTAAAAGCAGATTGTGCCTCTATGTGGGTTAATAGCTGTGATGAAACGTTGCAAGTGGACACTTTATTTTAAGAGGTAACAAGCTTAAAAGTTTGGGAATCACTGTTTTACATGATGGTAACCTGAAAAAATATTAAGCTTCTACAGACTTAGACAAAATAAGCAAGTTGATGACTTAATCTCCTGCTACAGGAAGTTTTTTAGGATTTTTTTTGACACTTTAGACTACAATTAATTGGTTAACAAATCAGATTAAACAATAATGAAATTAATCTCTTGTTGCAGCCTTAATACACACTGCAGAGTTTGACAAAATTATCCAAATGTGGGAACAGATCCCATTGTGTCCTCAATATACTTGAGCTGCAGGGTGTCTACCGTGTTTTATAATGCTGTGTACTTTTTTATCTTAATCATTTAAGATGCATTTTAGTGTGCAGTGTCAACAAGAGCTATGGCCACATATCCATGCTAAATATTACAGCAATACTAAGCAGGCTTTAAGTGTGTAGTGTGAACTGTCAAAACCAGTCTGTAGTCCTTAATGCATGTGTATGGTTAGTGTGTAGAATGGAAATGGGACACAACTAGTGTCTGAATGGAAAGTCTAGGGGTGCTTTTTAAGTTAACTGGCAAATCCACTCTGATAATTCTGCCATAAGCCTTTTTCCCCCCATTTGTTTAGTGTAACTGACATTTTCGTTGACAGGACTACTTTGGAGAATGCTCTGAAGTTGTAATCAAGGACAATGTGGTGACGGTGTACGAGCTGTTGGAGGAGATGCTGGACAACGGCTTTCCACTGGCAACAGAGTCCAACGTCCTCAAAGAGATGATCAAGCCCCCGACCATCCTGCGATCAGTCGTCAATACGCTCACAGGTAAACGGAGCTCATCTGTCTCAACTGTGCCAACCTTTGTGTACTTAATCTGCAATGCCTACATAAACACATACGTTTTTACTTTTGGTTTGTGTATTTTCCAGGAGGGAGTAATGTTGGTGATATGCTACCAGTGGGTCAGTTGTCCACTATCCCATGGAGGCGGGCTGGTGTTAAATACACCAATAATGAGGCGTATTTTGATGTCATAGAGGAAATAGATGCCATTCTGGACAAATCAGGTGCAAACTATCGCCTGTTTGATAACAACAGATGAAGAGTGTATTCATGTAAAGAATTGTTGGCTGTAATTAGATTTGGTTTCTCTTCAGACATGACTGTATCTCCTTCAACCTTTTCTACTCAGGCACAACAGTATTTGCAGAGATCCAGGGTGTAATTGAAGCCTGTGTGAGGCTCACTGGGATGCCTGACCTGACTCTGTCCTTTATGGTGGGTTCATTTCTTCTGAGCTGTGTTTTTCTTTAGTGCTTTCATGGGACCGGCTTTTGTTTAAGTGTAAAATTCACTCGCTATTGTTATTTGATGACAGAATCCTCGTCTTCTTGACGACGTGAGTTTCCACCCGTGTGTGCGATTTAAGCGCTGGGAGTCGGAGCGTGTCCTCTCATTCATCCCACCAGATGGAAACTTCACACTCATGACCTATCATGTCAGCTCTCAAAAGTAAGCAAGTGGCATCACTAGATGTCTTAGTTTGTAATTAAAAATAACATGGACTCACAATCCACACTTGCTGTCTTGCTGCCTACTGAACATAACTGATTATTGCCACTGTGGAAAATGTGCTTCCTCAGTCTTGTGGCCATTCCAGTATATGTGAAGCAGAGCATCAGTTTCTTTGAGACAGGAACTTGTGGTCGCTTGGACATCACGATTGCACCCAAACAGACCATGGGGAAGACAGTGGAGGGTTTGGTGGTCACTGTCCACATGCCTAAAACTGTGCTCAGTGTCAACCTCACAGCCACACAGGGAAACTGCACCTACGACCTCACTACCAAGGTAACCAACATAATAAATAAGTGTTAGAATGCAAACTCATTCATAAATCACAACCAGTAATAGAGTAGGTCTGTATTAAATGAGAGGTTAGAATGCCTTCCACTTTTTGAACATGGACCCTCTTATCCAGTCGATGCCCACCATACTGCTCAGTTCCTTCAGTGCAAAGCTGCTTATATCTTGTCTGCTCAAATCATAAGTGTTAAAATGGGAGGCAGTGTAACAAAGTGTTTGTTAAAGAGGTAATTTTCTCTTTAGGGACTTCTCTCATTACAGTGAGTCAAAGACATACTGTATCTAGTCATGCAAGGGCTAAGTAGCCCAACAGAGATGTAATTCTGATCAGATGTGGTGGTGATATAGGGAAAATAAAACTAAAAAAATCAATCTGTTGTCCTTACTTTGAGCATGTCTATGTTTTGGTAGGTGTTAGTTTGGGACATTGGAAAACTGAATCCACAGAAGCTTCCTAACCTGCGAGGCAGTCTGAGTATGCAGGCAGGAGCCCCCAAACCTGAAGAGAACCCCACACTCAACATTGACCTGAAGATACAGCAGCTGGCCATATCAGGTAATCTTCAACTAGTCAGTCCCTTTATCTGCATCCTTTATCTTTGCCTTTGAGGGTGTTAATGATTAATAGTAGCAGAATTTGTATTTTATGTCATTTCTCATTTTGCTTGTCCCCCATATAGGTCTCAAGGTGAGCCGACTTGACATGTATGGAGAGAAATACAAGCCGTTTAAAGGGGTCAAATATGTGACAAAAGCGGGAAAATTCCAAGTGCGAACCTAAGCAATGACTGTCACAAGCCAAAGGTCAACAATCCAATGTGCCAAATAGGTGGTGAGCTAGCATCTTGCTAAGTCAGCTCTCCAAAAAGTCATACACATCCTCTGGCTCATTGTGATTGATGAATGAGTTTGCATTCTAACACTTATTTATTATGTGTTTGGCATTACATATATGTGACTGGATAGTATTTGTAGCCTGTAAAAGGAAGCCTTAATAATTAATGTGACCATGCTGAAGTGCTCTTAGTTTCTATCCAGTTTAAATGGGCTTTATTGAATGAACCATTCCTCTTTGTATTTTGGACTAATTCTGAACATGTTTTTCCTTTGTTTTAATCTAACACCTTCTGAGTGTATTCCTAAGGGGAATATTTTGGTTTGAAAAGGGACACTCACAGCGCCTTGCTCCTCACTACTTGCTTCATCACACGTATACAGTCTTAACTGCATGTAACCTTGAGAGTAAGCAACCATGCCTCTGCAAACCTTTTTTAATATAAAATAAGGTAGCCAAGTTTTATACTTATATATGTTTATTTAAAAAAACATTAAGGTAGTATCTACTTTCTGAGTAGCTGCAGTGCATCTTGAGGTCTTTTGTGCAGCTGTTTTTTGCACACATTAACTCTTTAATGTGCCCTTGTAAGTTTAGGTTGAAGTGCTTTTTAAAGCACATACTACAGCACAAACTGTGTGTTTTGGAGGCCTGAGGGAAATGCGTCTTATATCTAGGGTGCACAGTTTGAATTAGGGAGCGTTCACAACCATTCTCAGGGCCTATAAATGAGCTAGTGATTGAGGCAGCCTGTTGGGAGCAGTTGTGTTAAAAGCACTCAGAAATCACCAAGATCCTCACATAACTTATATGCAACTTCTTTACTCAGCACAGCATTTGCACAATCATTTGTCCATATCAAAAATACTAAGAGTTCTTGTACAAAGTTGAGCCTGTATTATAACATATAAGATGTCTGATAAAACCTATAAAACTCTTTTTTGTGTGTGTGCGCTTTTTATTTTTTATAATTACGCTTTAGCAGCATGGATACTGGCACTGTCAGTGGGTACGTCCACCACTTTGCGCCAGAATATCTATTATAAACAACTATTGGATGCATTGCCAGGCAACATTGTATAATCTTATTTTAGTGCATTTGCTATTTAGCACTCAACACATAGACATTGAACAAATATGTAGGTTTCATTAAATCCACAAATATAAACTGAAACTAAAGCAGATAAAACATTTAGCATTGTCACTGTCAGCTTGGCATACTGACATTAGCATAGCTGTGTCTTAGTCTCACAGAATCTTGTAATGAATATATCTGTTTATGTCTTGGTCATCTGCAACAGTAATGGTACCAACAATTTAAGAGGCTGACTCCAGTAATCAGACATAGTCTTTTATTCTTCCAAGGCACAGCAGATGTGTTGGCAGGGCTAGAAGCTATCGGATTACATTCAAGGTGTGATTGAACAAAAGTACACACACAGAATTACACCCTGTCGCTATCAATGAACAGTCACTGACTGCTACATGCTCAGAAGGCCCAAATAAAAATGAAGATATGGTTTAAAGTTTGTGCTGCTATTCAGAGCTCTGTCCCCAGCATTAACACGGGCAGCTCATACCGCGTCAGTGACGAGGCTTCACACATACACACTGGCACACGTGGACAAATTGTCCTTTCCTCCTTTTTAACGGTTAAATTTGGCTAGTCATTGTCAAAAGCAAAAACTTTATATAATACTGTTTAGTGAATGAAAATAATGAATTCACTCTTGCTTGTTATATAAATGCATCAGCTGATGTGTAATTATTCAAAACAGAAAGACTCCTTTGAAAGGTTTTTTATCTAAACCTAAAAAAAAAATCTAGATTGGCATCAGTGCCTAATATCATATAGAAAGGGTTTTTGTTCTCAAACCACCAGGGTTGTTTAGAAATGATGTGTAAACTCAAACTCAGATCATATTGGGACTACTGGGCTCACACATGGAGAAAAGTCTAAAAACAAGATGTTGAATTGCTGTGTAAAATCACTGGTTTTGAAAATATTAAACTGAAATCTGAACAAAATAGAACTTAGTAATTAGTTTAAAATATGCAAAGCAGGAGAAAACATTCACACTCTCTTTGCTAAAAAATAAAAAAAGGCTCTGTTGTGTTTAGAGAACTGCTTACAGTAATAAATCCTTTGGCATTGTTAAATAAAATGTAAATGAACTCTAAACTCACATTACAAACCTCAACTAACCTTGACCTTTGCTTTTCTGTCACTCATACTACCACTCTCAAGTGAACACTTAAAAGATCCTTCCTGCAATCAACAAAAAATAAATGCCTTTTGACTGACTACCATACAGTTGTTTTTGAAATGGTATATTTTCCTAAGAGTCGACACCTTTTAGTTTTTCAAGTTGTATAAACATCACTGAGCAGCAGTGATGATGAATCACCTCTGAATTCTTCAGTTAAGAACAGCATTATTTCCAAAAGTAAACCTGAAGAGGGGCAGAGCTCAGCCCACACAAGACTCCACACTTTAATGTCAAACTCGCTGAATAAAGCTACTAGCTGAGTGTTGTTCATAAAACAAATAATTACTGTATGTACAGTAGACAATAAGAAGTGCACCAAAAAACTGAATGAAAAGTAAAAGTCCTCTGGGGGATAAAATCTCATAATTCTGCATTTGGAAAATAGAAAAAATTTTCATGCAAAAAATATATACCTGGGATTTGGATAAACTCTGGTAACACAACATACCAAACATATATAAAAACCGTCTCTGATTAGCCTGCGTGATTCCACAGTTACGGGCAAAGGGAACTGGAGAGCGAAGCTGAACCCACTCCAATAAATGAAACCTGCTTGGTACTAGATCTAATGGTCCTGGTATGCACACCCAAACTACAGTGGAGGATGGGACAGAATCACCTGCAGTTTCCTCTTTGAAGAAGTGCACGTTTACTCATGAGGAGTTTGCACATTGTTACCTTTGCTTGAGGTGTTTGCTCTATCAGTACCAATTTAGAGCATAGCTAGTTTCAGTGACCTGGTTTAGTTATTGATACCAGGGGGTCTTGCGCACCCAGCGAAGCGTGAATCCCGCATCTGTGCGAATCTTGATGGAGGCAGCTTCTGCTTCTCTGACAGTCTCCTTCACTGACTGCATCAGATTCTGAGCATTATGGACCAACATCTCTGTGGCCTGGTCAGGGAAACATTCACAGGTAAAGTTCATAAATAATAACCAAGGTGGGACAAAATGAAACAAGTTATCACTAATGGAAGAGGTACTCAGATTCTATATGCAAGTAAAAGTACCAATACTTTAATGTATGTGAAGATACTCCATTAGAACGTCTGCATTAAAAAGATGAGTAAAAGTACTAGTATTACTAGCAAATGCATAAAAGAAAATGTGTTATGTAAACAACGTGGAGTAAAAATATTTTCCTCTAAAATGTGGTAGAGTTGAAGTATAAAGTAGCTTAATGGAATTACTCAGATAAAGAACCCCAAAAGTGTAGTAAATATGATACTTGTGTAGATGTACTTAGTTACTTTGCACCACACCAAGTTTCAGGGGATGCACTCATCTGATATGGCAAATTAGTACCTGCACAGATACTGACCAAGCAGATTGGGTATTGGCTATGGTGTGACTGAGCCACATGAAGAGCAGTGTTAATTATAAAATTACAGTTACATTCATTCAGTCATGTCAGGTTGTCAGCTAAAGAGCAGACACACTGAAGTTGAGGTATCTGTACAGAAAAACATCCCCACCAGTTAAGTGCAGTTTAGTGAGTTTACCTGCTCTGACTCCTCTTCGCTAATGTTTGTTCGCCCCAGCATTGTGGCTTTGACAGTTGAGAGGATCTTCAGCTGAGTACTGATGGTTGGAATTCTTTCACACACCTTTGAAGGGAGAAAAAAATTGTTAATTAGTTTTCTGTACATGACAGAGTACTGTATGTGCCTGTGCGACTATGTTTTTACCTGTAGCAGATTAGTTCTGATGCGTCTGTCAGTGCACTGCTTGGCCACTTCTTTAGCAAGTCTCGTTACCTCATCTGAGGCCTTGGCAATGTCCTTAGCACACTGAATCAGTGCCCGTTTGTTCCCGCTTCCACCACGCACCAGCCGAGACATTTCTGCCATTAGCAGAGCCATCCGCTTGGCTGCTGCGATGATGTCGTTACCCTGTGAAGGGGGGAGAAGGTAGAGGAGGAAGGCTGTAAGCAAGATACTGGAGAAAAGCATGGCTTTGGATAAGAGGTCAGAATGCAATGGAAACATATTGCATGGGCCATGTTTCCAGCATTTTTAAGACAATCATCAAGACGCAGTGCTATTAAATGCTAAGTGAATGTTAGTGCTTTGTATACACTGATTTTGAATTACTAAAAAAGCAAAACACACTACATTTACTAGTGTGTTTAGCAGAAAGCTGCATGCAGTGTTAGTGCCAGTGCAAGTTAGAACACATTCTCCAACCCTCATGGAGGAATTCAGAAATTTATATTCATAGTTTTGGAGGGAAATGGTGTTTAAGTTCTCACCCTCTCCCTCACATCACAGTCGAGCTGAGGTTAGTACCCACGAGGTGATGCTCTCAGTGTTGAAGTGACCAGTACACACTGTGAGACTGAGAAGCTGAAGCAGGTGATCGTAACAGGCAAGCAGGCAGTCTAATTTCAAAGCTACATCACCCAGAAGTCTTTGGGAAACTGTCCTCCTTGGCTTCACAGGTTGGCCAGACAACGAGTGCCTGACAACAGTGATAACAACGAGACAGACCGCCTGGCTCCTCCTTTAAACCACTTTACCTAATCATGAACGGGAAGTAAGGGAGGGACTTGTGAAGCCAGTACCAGTTTGTTCATGTGGTGCAACAAACAAACTTGCCATTCCAACAAACCCCAACCTTTAATGCAGCTTTTGCATGGCTTCAGCATAACCGTGTGTCAACCATGTCTGAGTGTGATGCAACAACAGTAAAACAGCAACCACAGGTGTTGAAGGATTCCATGGTAGTGGCAGATGCAGAGTTCACAGCCACATCACAGTCAGCTAGTATTCCAAAGGTGTTTCTTTCTCCTACAGGGCTTTTCTTGTGTTGTGCATTTGTGTACTTGCATGCGTGGATGTGTATCTGTGTATGTGGGGTCAAACAGTACAGTATCATACCACCAGCAGCTCAAAACATTTAGAGCCTTTTCAACATACTATCTGACCCACATCTGGGTGTGTGTGCACTCATGTGTATGTGCGCAGACCTTGCTGGACCACTTGCGCGCCTCCTGGTGGAGAGACTGGGCAGCTGCCAGAATGGGTTGATTGACAGGCTGGTTGGAGGGCATCAGCAGCAGTTCTGGCTCATAGTCATCCTCACCATCAGTAAACTCATCTTCATCATCTACCTCCCTCTCCTCTACAGCCTCCTCATCCTCAGGCTGGGCAGGGCAAAGTGGGGGGTGGGGATTGTTGTTGGTGGTTGGAGGAGTAGGATAGATTGGGATGGGAAGAACAGGGTGGGAGGCAAAGGGGTTGGGAGGAGGAGGAGGAGAAAAAAAGGAGGAATGTGGAGAAAAAGGGCAAGGAGAAAGCCAGGGATTTCAAGAGGGAAGGAAGCATGGGAGAAGGAGGCATTTAGTACACTATGAGAGGCACTGGATGGGAAAACAGAGGACAAGAGGTTTACAGGAAGGACAAGGAATGAACATAAGAGCTGTGATGAAGCAGGGAGAGGGGAGGTGAAACTGCACATACAGGAAAAGATGGTTTTGGTGGGGGGTAAAAAGAGGAAAAAGGAGCTGGGTTGGGCAGGCAGCAGCTGGATGATGTGCCTACTCTGAGGCTGTGGCTGTTTGTATAGGATTTGCACAATCAAACAAGGTCTACCTGTAACCAAAACCAATGGTTGGCATCTTTCTATGGTATTTAGGAGTCTAGCAGTGTGCCAGTGCCTGGTTTCCAAAGACAACTCTGATGTATAGATATGAAAACACTGTTAGGAGAGCTATTAAGTGGAAATGGTTATTTGCTTCACAAAGAGTGTGAGAGGGCATTATTCCTGAATAATGGTTATAGACACAGTAACTAGTCCTAGATACAATTCCTCCACACACAAACTTACACATACAGAACACAAAAGGGATAAGAGTGCAAACAATACAACATTTATGGCAAATATAGTGTGGCTCATTTTCTCAAGACGGTGGGATCCACAGTTGACTCTTTTTCTTATATTTACTTTGTGCATGCAAGCCTGCATGTGTATTATGCAAGCTCAGATGCCAACACCTTGAACAGATGACAGTTTCCAGTTTCCCTCTATAACTGGAATCAAGCCACTGATCTCCACATTTCAGGATCAACATGATTTCAAACAAAACCTTGATCTCCGATATTCCTAGAATTTGAGAAGGTGCTTCCTCATCAGACAAGTGTATTATTATGGCCAGCAGAGAGAAGAAGTAAAATGGTGTGATCACTCCAGTCATCTCTACTGAAATGACAGGGATATCATTAACCAGCTACCATAGGTTTTTGTACCCAGAACTGAATCATTCCCCTAAATTTTAAATTATGAGCAGCTTAGTGGGTGATTAACAACAAGCCGTATATTTCTGGGGGTTTGTGTTAACTGACCTTGCTGGACCACTTGCGCGCCTCATCGTGCAGCTGCTTGGCCGCCACCATCATGGGCTCACTGACAACCTCTCCCGCCTTCTGCTCTGGGAACTCCTCATCCTTCTCCTCTGGAGGAGGGGGCCGAGGCGGGGGCACCTCGCCCTGTGGCAAGGGGGGCTTGGGTGGTGCCTGCTCATCACTAACCTGGAAAATACACACATAGACACACGTTACTTATATGGTGTTCAGGAGCAAAGGTGGGTATAAGGCAAGACAAGGCAGCTTTGTCTGTATAGTACATTTCATACACAGTCAGTTCAAAGTGCTTTACGTAGAGCTTCATCAGGACTCTGCGAATGTGATTTGATCAGATTTTTGTAATGCTTCTGTCAGCAACCCAACAATTATCATCAGACGTTGATGCAAATGTTGCTTAATCTCATATGAAATGATTAAAACTGTTCCAAATTTGGCAGAAAATAGAAAGTTCATGTAATACCCAATCGCTGATTGAGAAAATAGGTTTTGAGGTATTTATTTACAGTACATTTTATGCACTCCGCAACATCCAGCTTCACATTTACAATTACACCTGAGCAACTCAACTGGAGCTGTTAATGGTTCATTCATAACCCTCATAACTCAATCATTTTTAAAAGTGGTGTAAGGCAGCGCTGGGTCATTCAAAGGTTTATTGTGGATAACGGAATGTGTGTGTTTGAATGTGCGTACATGGAGCTGGTCCAGGTCAGGAGGTGGGGGAGGAAAGTCAGGCTCCTGAGGTTGGAAGGCTTCCCTAACTTTGCCGACTGCAGCCAGGATCCTCAGACACGAGTCCAAATAGGCTTTCTGCAGTACTGTAGAGGAGAGAGTGAAACATAAGAGAGATAATAACATGAACAAAGCTGTGTCGCTGCATGCCATGCAGTATCTTGAACATGTATTTGCATAATGTACCTTTATCTTGTATGTTCCCGGCCACTGCCTTGGCATCCATCACCATGGGTGAGATGGTGTGTGAGAGGATGTCTGACGCATGTTTCACAGTGTCTCTGAACCGCAGATCTTCAGAGTTCTCCACTTCCTTCTTAGCCACCAACAAGACCCGATTAGCTCGTCTTGCTATGCTTGTTGCCCCGGCAACAAGCATTTGGGGCTGAACATTTGCCATGGCAACTCGGCACTTGTCGATGTCTTTCTTTATAGCCTCCTCAGAAGCATCTAACAGAGATTTGGTGTCGATGGCTTCGTCCACCAGACCTGAAGCCACAGAGAGATACCCACACACAGATGAACCTCTCTAAATCCTATCTAATGTGCAGTGTGTTAATATAATTTGGGAAATCTATTTGTTGCAGGCTACTGTAACACTAGAACTACTTCAAAATGAGAAACTGTCAATAGCTGAAGAAAACGCTGAGAAAATCCTCACCAGTCAGTCTCTCCACATTGTCAATCCACTGGTTCTTCATAGTGTCAAAGTGCTCATATGCCGCTTTGTTTCCAGGATTCTTCAACAGGATCCGAGCAGCAGAAGTCACCTGGACATTAACAATCATGTCTCACTCAGACTGTGTGACAGCTACATGTTTCATCAGTGAATGCAACTGTGCAAACTGTGGACAATAAGATGAACAGAAGCACCTGTGGTGTGAGCTCCCTGGCATGTTTCACAGCAGCATGAATCCCCTCTACTGTGCTCTTATTGGCTGTTCCCACAGCAGCAGCTTTCTCTGCGGTCGCCCCTAGTCGACCTGCATGGGCCTCAAAGTTCCCTGCGCGCTCTTCAAAAACCTTCAGCAAACATTATCACTGGTATAGTCAGACTAAATTCACAATCATCCTCTTTTATTTGCTCCTACGCACACATCTATATAGTGCAAAATCAGCAGAAATTAGAGAATTAATTGTTGTAATCTGATTTCCAGTCAGGAAAGATATTTTTTTTACATTACTGACCTCCTCCCTGTTGGGGGCATCAGGAGGAGAGGTTGCAGCTACAGCCAGCAGTTTAACAGGGGTGGTGGTGTCACTGAAAACATCAGATACTTCCTGGGTCATCACCTCCTGCATGTGCTGCCTCAGGTCCTGGTAGAAGCAGAGTGTCTCATTTCAGTCCACTAGGTGGAGATCTGCACCAACACTTCCAATAACAACAAGCACGCATGCATCATATATTGTGTACAAAGCCAAGGCTCCATGTTTTGTTGTGGCTGCATCCACCTAGATGTCATGTGTGTCATTTTATTCAAATTAACCAGAAATTTTGCCTGACATTTGGAAACTTTATGGTCTTCATTATAAGTTACAATAAGGTCTGTGGGTTTGTACAATGTCATTTGTAATGACTGGAGTTTAAAGCTGAGCCGATTAACTTATAAACTGATGTGTGTTTATGAAACTATGGAGGTACCTTGAGGCTATCCTGCAGTTGTGCAGCTGTAGCTCGTGCATGAGGAGCCTCAGCCTCGCCTCTGCCGGCCATGTCTGCCAAAGATGTCATTAGAGCCTCTGTTCGGTCGCAGCGTCCGATCATATCCTGTCGATATGGGCCTAACATGCCTCCTGCCAACCTCCTCCCTTCCCCAACCATTCCTCTGATTGCTGCCTGACCTGTGGAGACACACAGCGCAGAAGTCAGCCTCACATCGCATCTGAATACCATGAATCTCTTTAGTGTTCAATTAAAACCAACACGTATAATTACAAGTCCTTATTTAGAAATAGAGAATCTATAAATTGCAGCACAGTGCTTTGTATTTATTAGGAACATGGTCTAATAAGTATTGCAATGAGTTTCATATTTCAAGAAACTTGTAAATTAGAAAACAGGATGTTGCATTTTATAGTGCTCATAAAGTTTCCAGGAAGCCATTATTTGATTGTTATCTATAATGTCTGATTATCTCTTCTAATAAAGCACTTAGTGGTCAAGTACCTGTGTTCCACTGTAGCACCTCATACTCTGCTCCCATAGGGAAGCATGGGAGAGAACAGGAAACAAACACATGACAAAACAGGAATAAAGTAATAGGTATAAAACAAATCATTATTAAAAATATTGCAGGGCTCTCTGAATGACTAAGTCAGGTTAGTCATACGGTGAAGCACAGGATACATCACTGTGGGCATTAAAGGAAATGGCATCAGTCACCAGCACAGTTATTCCTGTCAGAAATGTTTCGTGAATGAGATGCTTTGCGATCTCGTCATGGACCACAAACACCTCATATCTTTCAAGATCCTGTAACTGCAGCAAAAAGTTCCCAAGTACTGCATTAACATTCTCACCATCACCTACATACAAAAGGTGTGAAAGGTCAGAGACTTTATTTTTTATCCACCACATCATCCTTCCCTAGAGATGTCATCCAACCCCACTCACCTATTCCTCTGTCGTCCACTCCGGGGTTGTTCACCCAGCGGAGGGCCTGCTCCAGTTTGCCCTCCAAGGTGACGGCAGGCTTAGCTGGTCTCATGCTGGCCACAGCCCGGTTGGTTTTGGACTGCAGCGTCAAGAGGGCCACTCCAATCTGCTTTGCCAATGCACGTGCCTCTGGGCTGTCACCTTTACCTCTGAAACAGTAACACACAGAGAGATGGTTTGAGACAAAAAAAGCTGGAAAGTTCAAGAAATTAGCTGTTAAATAAAGTTTTCAAGCCTGTCAAATTTGCAGGACCATTCCCCCGTTACAGTCAGTATGGAAAGTTTTCAATCTTTCCATTTTTTCACATTGTTATGTTTCAGACTCATCCTAAAATGGATTCTTTTTTTCTCATCAATCTACACACAATACTCCACAATCATGATGGAAACAGGTTTTTCGAGTGCTTTAAAAATGTATTAAAAATACAAGACTGAAGTATCCTATTTTCATACAGTAAGTATCCAGACCCTTCACTTAGCACTTGGTCAAAGCAGTAATGACAGCCTCAAGTCTTCTTGAGAATGAAGCTAAAATCTATTCTTAGCAGAACTGTTCAAGGTTAACCAGGTCAGATGGAAAGAGTTGGTCCACAGCCATTCTCAGGTCTCCCCAGAGATGCTCTGTTGGGCTCAGGTCTGGACTCTGACCGGGCCACTCACAGGACATTCACATGGTGTACCTGAAGCCACTCCTGTGTTTTCTTGGTGATATGCTTTGAGTCATTAGCTTGTTGAAATGTAAACCTTCGCCCCAGCCTGAGTTCCTGAGCACTCTGGAGAAGGTTTTCAATCAGGATTGCTCTATATTTTTCTGCATCCATCCTTCGCTCTATCATGACTAGTCTCCCAGACACAGAATAACACCCCCACAGAATGATGCTGCCGCCACTGTGTTTGACTGTAGGGATAGTATTAATGAGGTGATGCCCACTACCTGGTTTTCTCCACACTGTTGGGAATTGTGGCCAGATAGTTCAGTCTTTGTTTCATCAGACCAGAGAAATTTACTTCTCATGGTCTGAGAGTGCTTCAGGCGTCTTTTGGCAAACTCCCAGTGGGCTGCCATCTGCTTTTTAGTGAGGAATGGCTTCTGTCTGGCCATAGAGGCCTGATTGGTGGAGTGCTGTGCTGATGGTTGTCCTTCTGTAAGGCTCTCCCATCTCCAGAAAGGAACTCTGGATCTCACTCATAGTGACCCTTGGGTTCTTGGTTATCTGTCTGACCAAGGCTCTTTGTCCCCGATTACTAAATCTGGCCAGAAATATGAAGGCTGTTGGTGGTTCCAGATCTCTTCCATCTGGGAATGCTGGAGGCTACTGTGATCCTGGAGACTTTTAGTGCTGCAGAAAGTTTCTTCCTCAGATCTGTGTCTTGACACAACCCTGTCTCACAGGTCTGTGGACAGTTCTCTCGACCTCATGGTTTTGATTTCAGCCTGACATACACCATCAACTGTGAGACCTTAAGGCATGTGCCTTTCCTAACTATATATTTTTAATACATTTACAAAACACTCCAAAAATCTGTTTTTACTTTTTCATTGTGGAGTATTATGTGTATATTGACAAGCAAAAAATTAAATTGAATCCATTTTAAGACGAGTCTGAAACCTAACAAAATATGGAAAACTTGAAATGTTCTGAAAACTTTCCGTACTGACTGTAGACACTGACCTTGAAAGGAAACAACCACCATAAAAGGCTCATGCCACTTATTAATTTGGTATGGTAAATACTCTATATTGAAAGTTGAGTAAAGAAAATATATTTCTAATGGTGACTCATCTTGCTGGAGTATTTCCCTTTAAGGTCAAGTAAGTATTGATCTCCAAACTGACCCTCCACATAGACACCACAGTCCCACCTGTTCCACACATCTTCAAATAGTTTGAAATCTTATGGTAGGGCTGATGCCCAAGGATGACAGGCAACAACATACAGGCAGGTAAAATATGCCAGCTATTGGTGGCATGAAGTTTCAGTTTGAGCCTAGAAAAAGAGGGTCTAAGAATTATTTAAAATATTCACAAAACATCATTGGCCATGCGTATGTCAGCAGAGGGAAAGCGTACTGTCTGCGTAGCTCCGCCAGTCTGCCGGTGAGTCCTGCAATCTCACTGATGGAGCGCAGTATATCATCCCTCTCTTTGGGGTCTTCGCACAGATCAGCGATGCGTTTGGCCTCTGCTAGTAGCACTCTGATGTTGTCTTCCCCCTCGGGACCACCGTTAGGATCGGCCAGCCAGGCCTAACAAATGCACATACAGTATATGACTTAGTACGCAAACCTATACAAACACACCACAACAATGTATAGTTTAAGTATTTAGCTTCTCTTATCCACATTTACATTTAGCTTAAATTCTTACTGAAAATAGTAAACCACATGCTTAGAAATGAACTGGAACAAGGGAGACAGAGGGTAAGTGTGGATTACTGTGTTGGTGCTTTATCTGACCTGTGCAGAGTCCAGCCTCCTGGCAATAGCCTGCTTGGCATTGATGAGGGCCTCCAGTCTGCGGGCAGCAGCATCCACTTTGCCAAATAATAACTCTAAGCCCTGCGAACACTTGCCTGCATGCTGCACACACCCTGGGGTCGGTCCCTGGCCTCTGGCATAAAAGAAAAAAACAACACAGCTGTGTTGACATGATCAACATAATGGAGAACAGTTTCAGTCTCATTCTCTCAAACATAGACACTACCTGGCTCGAAGGTCTGTGACCTGGTCTGTCATTTGTCCCAGAGCCTTAGCGGTGGCCAGTATATCTCTCCTCTCCTTCCCAGCGCACAGCTCTCCCACCTTACCAGCTTCATCCAGTATCACACGTAAGGCAACTTCACCAGGGTCTCCTAGGGAGCACAACACACCACAGAGTAAGAGTGTAGAATAACATGAAGACCTGACTGAGTGCTTTAGCTGAGGGAGCTGAGAAAACTTAACAAACAAAAGAAAACACTTACCTGGTTGTCCATAAGGGTCTTTGAGCCAGTTTTTAGCCTGCCCCATCTTTGACTCAATTAAAGCCAGGGATCTCTTCAAAGCCTCCATATCCTGAGGTAAAGACAGCACTGTGTATAGATTTGTCAAAGGATATCAGTGGGTATTTAAAGAAGAAGGTAGAACTTTACATCAAGGCATACTGTAAACAATGAGAAGTCAGTAATGACTTTAGTAGTTTTTAAAAATGGATGCATTATTGTTTTAACAACAAAATACTACAATAACCTCTACATTTACTCAAATGTGAGCAAACGTGCATTTGTTGGGGACTATTTTCAGCTGTGGACTGATACACATTTGGTGTGTAAATCACTGTTGATGATTTTAGGATTATTATAAAAGACTGACTCACAATGAACTGCTCATGGTAATGAGGGAACAGGTCACACAATACAAACAATATTTTTTGGTAGAATCCATTGTTGTTTTGGTCTTGTTTTGGAATTTGCAGACAATAAGAAAAATCAAGTGCCCTTTCTTTTAAATTCAGATGCTTTATTTACTTAGTTATTTTAAATCTTGTAATGATATACAACCATTTATTGTTGAAAACGCTGAAAACTTTAAACTGTGCATTAGTTGGCCATTAAGAAATATGTAGTTGCTGGTCTGCATTCTTTGCAGCCTAAAGTATCCATTTGTTTGTGCATGCTGAACCTGACAACCCCAAAGTTACTTCTATTAATGTTTATTATTCATTTATAAAGCAGCAATAAAGTCTTAGAAACAATACAAGCCTTCAGTTTCCAGAAATTATCATCAGAAATCATAGTTACTGGTGATCAAGGGAAAAATAAGACATTTAAATATCTCACATGCTGCAGACTCTTTCACTGCTTTAATATGTGGTGGGGGTGGGGGTTCCAGCTCAGAGGGGAATGAAATGCTTAAGTGAAACTGTTCAATAGACCCATCTATTATGGATGTCTGGACACCAACCAGCTTATTTCTATAATTCATAACCTGAGAGGAGGACAGTGATCGTGTGCCAGCGGTTATCACAACTCCTAGTGTGCAGTATTTCCACAGCAAACACACACAGAAACACAAACAGACAGATCATTGTGTGAGCTAGCTGTGTGCAGAGAAACATGCAGGGTTACAGGTTAAACTAGTGAAACGGATCTGAACTTTATCAGAAAATGACTGCAGAGCTTTTAAGGTGGCCAAAAATGTATTTTGTGTGAGAGTTTCCTATTGTTCTACTGAAAACAGAGTAAACACAGGCAGCTCCATGAAAATACCACGACTGACTAAATTTCTGAAGTGGTTAATGTAAAAAAAGGTTATTTAACTTAAAAACTTAAATAACTACCATCTGTTTCAAACCATTTGACTCAGATGGACGTCTAGAGACAAACATATAACAATATAGTGATGAAGTACAGTATGGGTACATCATCACGTCAGCTAACAATCAGTGGATTAAAACATGATACACTACAGTTAAATACCAAGATGACAGCTATGTATACAACGTAAGCATGAGGACATATCCCTTTCTCTCACAAATATACACACTTGCATGCTGGAAACTGCAGAGGGGGAGAGAAACAGGCTTACCTTCTACAGGGAGGAAAAGAATGGAGGAGGAGGGTAAAGAAAGAAAAGAAAAAGAAAAACCAGGAGTTATACTAGCAAGCAAAAAGAAAAGTGGAGACAAAGTAAAGAGTGAAATTTTTTGGAGGTGCTCGCTGCAGCACACGGGGACATGTGGATACAATGTGTGGTTATGTGTGTGCGCAGGGTCACTCGAAAGCAAAAGTGATCTGATACCTGATTTAGGTATGGGGAGGGGTTAAATATAAAATGGTATAAAATAAAGAAACTCTAGGTTCACATGGCCAACACAGGCCATACCTTATTGGCCCAGGCATCTTCGTCCCATGTGGTGAGCTGCAGGACTCTTATGATCTCATTGATTTCAGCGCTCATCTTTTCAAAGGTAAACCTTCTGTTCCTCTCTGCCTCCTCAACGCCGGCACCGTGACTGCTCTTGGTTGCGACAAAAATCTTTATAGCTGAGGACAGAAACATGCATGTTTATTATTAGAGTCCTAAAGAACCAGGGATTTCTCACAAAAGTATTAAAATTCATTAAAACTATTATTTATGAAAATCCCACATGAAAGACAATGTGGCAAACAGCAGTGACCAAACACCATAGCCACTGGCATCAGAATGTTGACTATAAATCTGTATTAGCTAATTATTGGCCACTTGGGGGCACTGGAAACTACAGATGACCACCTTTTAAGGTAATATGGTGAACATGTTATGCAGCAGTTGTGCAGATATGCAGCTGGGGCTACATTAGCATTCATTTGAAGCTGTGTTTCTGTCCACTTCATGAATTTTAGTCAGTAAGTATTCACTCTCCTTTTAGCTCAGTTTTTGGTTTCCATCATCTTGTGAGGATAAGATCTGGCTCTTTGGCTGCTAATTGCTCCAGTATGTTCACTAGCTGGTTGCTAACCTCATCCCTATTAATGCTTAGTGACTCCATTCATATGATCCAATATAAAAAGACCAATCAGTGCAACTTCAGGTTGCAAATTGGTTTGTGATCTTGCAAGATCAAACTATTGGTCTAAATGTTTTTGACATCCACATTAAATGTGCATGTTTGAATGTACAGCTTGTAAAAGCTGTAACAGTATTTCTCTTCTTTGCTGGTGCAGAATACAGCATGAGAGATGCTAGTGGAGCAGCTAGTGGGTGATGTGTGTGTAGTCAGTCTGACATCCCCAGCAACTAATGACTGTAATTATACGCGTTGCTATAACAGCAGCTCGAAGCTTAGTGACCTGTACTGTTGTTTACATTGACTTACATTCCTTTCCTAGACACTTACCCAAACCTTAATCATAACCACTACTGGCCTAACACCTAACCTTATTCTCACTCTAACCTTAAACCGAGTAGCCACTCTAAAATCCAGTAAATTCGATGGTGGAGACTGGCATCTGATTCCCAGATTGAGTCCCCCCAGTGTGAGTGTGTGAACAGGTTTTACTCCCCATAATGTGAGTAAAACCAGGTGAACAAACACACACATACACACCTGATATAAGAACAGGCAGCAGCTCTTTGATGGTGTTCATGGAGCTGACTAACATCTGCCTGTGTTCTTGATGTGTCAGCTCCTGCTGCCTCTCCTCAATCATCTTTGACATTTTAGTCATCCCTAAATAAAGAGAAAAAAACGGAGGGAATTTATTGTCAGTGAAAATGAGAGGTTCACAAAATCAAACCGACCAATAGAATGAAAGAAGAAAATGGCAGTGACCTTGGGTTTGGCCTTACTACTACAGCTTTAACTCTCAGACAACAGAGACCAAGGACATTCTCCGGTGTATTGACAAAGTGAGTAGCTCCAACACATACAAACATCATCACTTCATGAATGACTGATTTTGTACAATGACAGCATCAGTTATGTGTGAGAAAATCTGGGCATCAGATTTCTTCCAGCTCATTATGACGCAATGCACTGACAACACAAATGACGGTTTCCTCTGGAGATAAATAGCCTTTTTATGTTCCTGTTCTCCTGCCAGTAAAAAGATTCTGATCTGTAATCACACCATCTTAGTGTCAGCAGAGCTGTCTGTTGTTCATTTAGACTTTCACCATGACAGATGGAGCTCTAATCTAAAGAACAGTCAACAACAAGGGTTGATTGCATAGTTCTTGATTTAGTGGTGACCCAAATATTGTGATGCATTTGTGATTTGCAAGTTTTTCACAACAGTAATATCTATATATTTACAGAATGTATAAATATTTTAAGAAGAACTCATAGCATGCAAATTAATTGATGAATTTGACATGAACACATTCTGCTACCAATGCTGCCATCAAGATCCACTGGAACTATAATGGGGGCGACTACTAATCAATCTGCTGATTCTTTTCTCGATTAACTGTAGATAAATATCAGAAAACTGTGAAAAGCTTTCTTCAAAGTCTACAACCTACAAGTATTCAGTTTGCTATTACATAAGACAAAGAAAAGCTCAAGTTATCCCAATTTAGAAGCTGGAGCAAAGGAAGAGTTGGCATTTTTGTTTAAAAAATAATTTAAACGAGTAATCGGTTCTCAAAAGTGGGTTTGTTTTCCTTTTAAAGGCTCCTGCTGACCTGGTCCCAAGTTCTTGGTGTAAGTGATTAGGTCCTCCATGGTCTCCACCACTTCAGCTACAGTCAGATACTCTAGGATACCTTTACACACTCGGATTATCTTACGCACCTAGAACACAACACAGACATCATCACAAGCAGATGAGATCATGTACTGTACGAAGGCTGGTGATAACAAACTACTTTATTATGAGAGCAAAGTTTTGTGCGTGCATAAGCGTTTTTAGACAGTGCTGATGTTACCCTGTTGTTTGTGTGGTGTCTTTGAGTGTGTGTGTGTGTGTGTGTGTACAATCTTGTGATGTCCAGCTTGTGACTGTAAGAAGCTGCTCCTTCAAAAATGAGGCTAGCAATGAGACAGTCACGTGCCCAATGTGATTCCACTTATGGAAGTGCCATTAAACATTCAGCACACACTCACACACCCATATCATGCAAGCTCACATGTACCATATCCTCACACAAACATACACGCAGAGCCAGCCACACACACACACACACACACACACACACACACATACACACATCCTGATTTATGACAGAGCGAAGTCATTTGATCTCAGTCATTAGATTTGGCTCCATCTGAGAGTCCATTACAGACTTGCTTAATACTGAGTTCCTCCTTCCTCTGTACAGCTAAATAAAGCTTTATTTCCCTGAAAGATGCCACACCTCTGACATAAGAGTTATTCTCAGGGCACATGCATGGACATAAAGAGGCAATCACAAACACACCTCAGCCTCATCAAAGGTAAGGAGCAGGTCAGATGTTCCAGACAGTATCCCTCTGGATCCATCAATCAGGTAATCTCGTGCAGGAACAGAGTATGGGTCTGCCTTCAGCATCTGAGCCGCCTGGACGAGCTTAGAGCATGAGTTCTCCACCCTGAAAATAAAAAGCCAGCACAGCTTTACCAAAAACAGAATTTAATCACCTTGTAAATCTTGCAGATCACACCTGACAGTCAACATAACGAAAAAAAAAAACACTGTAAATCTGGTAACAAGAGATGGTTGCAAGGCATCAGACCAAGCTGCTTAGCTGCACACAGAGTGAAGATGCCGTTACTATATGCACCATTACACTGGGGCTGATAGTTTGCTATAGTTCAATTTCTGCACAATTTCCAAATTTCTCAGAGATGATTGATTAGATTAGCCTGAAGAAGTTGATGGTTTTTAAGAGCACTTTAATAAAGCCAAGTCCCTCCTCCTTCTGACCCCCCATTGGTCAGGGTATCAATGGCTGCTATTTCATTTATTTTTAGGTGGGCTCACATTCCAAAATGCCCCCTCCTAAGCCCTGTAAGTGAGATTTATAGTGTTGTGTCCCATGTACGTGTGGATGAGCCTGTGAGAGCAATCTGTGGATCTGCTTTTCTTAAAACACTGAAAGGCAAGTGCAGACAGAAAGGCAAATCACAGACAAAAGGAAATGACTGTAAATGCACAGTAAAAGCATTAACATTCACATAAACACAACATAAAAAACCACAAGCAAGCACAGCCTGAAATCCCAGGATGGCTGTTTAGCAGCTCTCAGCCAGCACCCAGAGCTCATGTCAGCTCTTTGGACACAAGCTGGAAAACAACAAACAGCCTCTCAGCGGTCTAGATGCTGGAGCCGGACAGTCACCCAGGCTTAGCTTCAGAAGTGGCTCTTTGTTGCAGCTGGGAACGCAGCCATGTTTCCTAAACATTAAATTGCCCGGAATCCTCTTTTTAACAAGTTCTCTGTCTTCTGAGATAAAGTGAATCATATCCATAATTTTGTCTCTGGGTATTTCTGTGAGTGACTCTGGGTGAGGTACACAAAGAAACAAAAGCGGTGCTTTTTCTTCTCAAGGATGCACAGCGATTCAGAGAAAGACTTACTTAATGAACGCTGGAGGCATATCTCTTTTCATCACCTGGTCCTCTGTGGTTTGAACCGTTTCTTTCCCCACCTACAACACACACACACAGATAGGCCATTTATTTCATTAGCAGTAGCTGTAGCATGGCAGGAAACAGTATTAAAGTGAGCAGTATTAATAGTCTGAAGGATGAACAGGTGTGTATCAATGCACACCTATTTCAACCATGCAGCAACACATCTTCCAAGCTTCAAGGGGAAGCTGCGTGACTCACTTATAAGCTATTCTATATGAGTGCAGGTTGGGAGAAAGACATTTCTAGTGCTCTAAACCAACCTGCCTCTCAGATGCAACAGCCATATGTGGCAACAAACTGCAGGTCTATAGTCCCGTTTTTTATCAGTACAACATTAGCCAGGCAGAAAATGTTAGCCAGGAGTGTAATCATTTTCTTCATTAAATCAGGCACAGTTGACAGTAGGGTCAGGGTAAAAGCAATGCTATATTTTCTTTTTACTGACCAAATTAGTGTTGACAGTCAGAACTGTGTGTATGAATTTTTCTGTTACAGTTGCTTGTTTTTCCCCTCTCCCACATTTCAGTATCAGTGGCAAACAAAAACATCCTGCCATGCATTTTACTTTTGTAGCTCAAATCATGCAAAATGCTGAAAGAATATATGTTTTCTTTGGTCTTGGTTTAAATTTTGATTTTGTTCCACAGTGCCTGAATGGATCAGTTACATATTGCTGTAGCAACAAAAGTTATAATATGGGTTAAAATGCTTAAATTCTGCATCTTGACATTGTCTCTTAACCGTTAATTGTTTGTTATTTAGGTATCATTTAGCCCCCTTTCTCTTCTTGCATTGTTAATTTGGTTTTCGTTCAAGTGAGGTGAAATATTTTTACTAACTCCTGGGATGATTACTATGCACACACTTATGGAAGCAAAGTAACAAACACACAATGTCAAAAACTGAGGATGAGAAGTTTAAAGAGATGGACACATTACATCTATCTTGAAAATGCATAAATTGCATTCAAACAGACTAAAAGATGCATTGAGTACAAAATCACATGCGCATATAAAGACACACAGAATCACAGCAGGACGACATTGCAGATGTTCATGTAGCTGGCTGAAAAACCTTAAGGTCCTGAAACACTGGCCCTCACACACAAAACACATCCCACATGAGCATGCACACACCCGCACACACACTCGAGATGCAATTACAGTGAGATGATAACATCAGTCTTTTGCTGCTGCGCTGATGAAACTTGGTTAATAGACTTTCTAGCTCCAGAGGCAGCCATCACATAACACAGTTTCAACTACACTGAGATTCAGGATCCCCTTCCCCCCCCAGATTTTACAGACCATTTGCATTTCTCCTAATCTGGTCATACTCTGTGTCTGGTAGGAAATAAAAAGCAAGAAAACCTGTTCCACTCAATGTTATGCTGCTCTGGGTTTTCTTCTAGTATTACATCAATAAATAATGTTCTTATAAATGATTTTTGCACCATAGAAACAACAAATCCAGTTCCATCTGGATTTTCATCATTTTGTAACAAATTCAGCACAAAATAAATCTCATTTTGAAAAAAACTGTCAAAACCATGTTTTCAAGCTCAAACTAATTAAACTTTAAATCTGTGAGTCTACTAAACGACTGCAATAAAGACACTGACAACATGTAATGATAGTACTAAGAGAATGAACTTGAACTGAGGAAACAAAATATATATATTTCTTTTATCCTTTGTAATTTAAGAATGTGCTATTTTAAATGCAATGATTTTTCACAAACACTGCACAAATGTCTTAACGGATACAAATTGAACATCCGAGGGCCTCAGTATGTCTTGGTAACAATGCAGGAAGATACCCAACTCTAAAATGTGAGAAATGCAGCTCTACAAGTCAAGTGCGCCCTGATGAATCCCTCCGGACAAACTCAGCAAATCACATCAGTTGACTGAACAAACAGCTGTGTGAGCTCCAGAGTTTCCTGTAAGCAGCAACACTTGCCATCGATTATTCAATACATAATTAATGAGAGCCTAAGTGGTTTTTTGGACACAGTGACAAGTGTGATGTGCGTATGTGCATTTCCACAGCCTGAAACATGTGACTGCTCCAACAGGAAACAGACATCTGTCAATCAAAACTGACACAACCAAATCAGCCTGGTCTTATCTCAGTTCCACTGCCGTCAGCTCTGATGTGCTTATTGGTTGGTTTTGGATCAGACAAGTCATTACAAAATGCCACTCAAATACTTAAATATCATAAATAATCATTTATCTATATTTTACAATTAATCATTTGTAACAACTATGGCATGTTACAGGAACATAAACACTCATAATTGCTTTTGTGCACAGCAACAAACATTAAGGATTCAGAATTTATGTTAACAAATGGAATAGCTACCAAATAGCTTACAATTACATACGTAGCAGACATGGAGCAACATTAGCAGTCATTTGGAGTAGTCTTCCTGTCTACCTGATCCAGCATTCACTCTCTCTTATTTAGCTCGGTATTGGTCTTCATCGAGAGAGACAAATATAGCTGCTAACTGCTTTAGTATGTTCACCAGCTATCCTTAACTTTGCCTGTCTGCTGTTTGGCAGGTAGTACACAGTGTGTTGGAGCTGTATCACCAAAAACTGCTGCTGGTGCTGGACACCAACTTAATGAGAGCACAAAGTTGTGGGCCATGAAACCAACACAGTTAGCTGACTGATCCCTTTCACATTAAACTTTGTCATTTGATGTACTATTCAAACAAATATATTGGTTAATGTGGCTTTAAAGGCATGTGAATTATTTATTTGGTGATAAAACACATAACTGAGAAGCAAGATGAAATTAGTTCTGTCAACTGACTTCCCTTTTCAGCACCTTAAAAGCTAAAAAAAAAAAAAAGAAAAGAAAAGGTAGATTTGGTTATGTGATAAACAGTCCAGACTGAGAAGCAGCGGGGCTGTGTAGAAGCAGCCAGGAACTAAGACTCATCCTGAGTCTGACAATGAACACGAAGAGATGGCTCCTATTTACATGAGAGAGCAGGCGGAGGACAGTTGGTGGGTGTATGTAATAAGGTTGGAGGTGGGAGGGTGGACTGGTGAACTATGAGGTTTGGCAGAGCCTGGTCTGAAGATGCCAGAGACACTTTCTCTCCCTTGCAGTGTGTGCTGGCATTTGACAGAAAGTAGCTATTTTGCTTCCTCTCTCCATCCCCCTTCTTCTTGTCTCATTCTGCAGCTCAGTGTTCGACAGCTTTGGACGACGCTCCTCTCTCCCCCACTTTGTGCTCTGTTCTGTCAGAGTGTGCTTACTTTACTCAACGGTAAATCTATTTATTCCTTCCTCCCCCTCCCCCAGACATGCTCCGACTCTTAGTTGACTCCTCAGGAAAAGGCACTTTTCAGACACCAGCGAGTCTCTGTCATCAGCCCAACTTCAGAAAGCTTGCATTTTCAACCAAACACACCGGCAGCATCTTTTAGATCCCTGCATAAGCGTCAGAGCACACACAACCTCTGACAGACTGAAACTTGTGTGTGTGTGTGTCTCAGTGACCTAGATTTTATGTGCACCCCCAACAAACACACACACAGCTGTGTTTTCATTCCTTGTGGGGATTTTACATTGACTTACATTCATTTCCTGTAGACCTATCCTAACCTTAAACATAACCACTATTTGCCTAACACCTAACCTTAAACTATTTTGCCACCCTAAAATTTGAAATGACCCACAGCAGCCCATCCTGGACAGGGTTAACAGTGTAATTGTATCAGTATGCCTTAAGACTCATGTGGTGATGGCGGCATGTTGCTGTACATTGTTACTGCACCATATCTTAGCCCAAATTGCTCAAGTGTAGAAATGAACCAGCCTTCTAAAACAAAGCACATGTGCTCAGAAGTGTGAGTATTTGAGTGTTAAATATCTTTTGTTAAGTCTATCCAGCAACCAACCGCTGCTGATTTTACTAGCTCTGTTCTCAAGCACCTTTTGTGCTCCCTCTCAACACCTTCCTGTCACCCACTTTATCAGTGAACTACACAACAATCCCATCATCTCCTCTTAAGTATGAATATTCAGGCATCTACCCGGGGTTTTCTAGTGTCTGAGAATACAATGAGTTGTACATCTTATATTCCCCAAAATACACTAGTAAATGCACAGGAAAATACATTAACTAAGAACTGAGGAGAGATAAGGGCATTTAAAACTTTTGATTGCATCCTATATTTCCTTCCTATCTGCCTGATAGAGTCCCTCCATCCTAACAACATACTTCCTCGGTCCAACACCTTCCAGTGTCACTATCAATCCCTAAGCTCTCATCTCCATCATCTGAGACCCAGCATCACGCCTGAGGCTGCTATTAGCCTCCTTCTGCTCACTGTCTGAATGGATCAACTGAATGGATCAAGCTCAGAGAGACATGGAGCCTGAAGCAATGCAGTATCAAGGACTCAGTGTAGCTGGATGGTATCACATAAAAGGGGATTCGTCATAAGATGCACCACTGTGTTTGAGTTCAAACTAAAAAGGCCTTTCATTATCAGCTAATGAGATATTTATCAAAATAATCTTGTGTGTCTTTGCACGCGGCAGCAGTCATGTAAGAACTTTTAAAAACTTTGACATGACAATAACTCGAACAAATAAGCTGCCTCATTTAATGTAAATGATTTGTCACTGTTATACAGTGTAGCCATTGATATGATGTTTCCAAATTACACTATGAGTAGGGTTAAAACTCGGCTTATGTGACTGGGTGAAGTTCCCTTTAATATGAATGACTAATAAATGGGATTTGCATAATCAAAAGTTTTGTAGAAGTGAAAGTGAAGTCAGGTCACCATCAATACAATGACCCCAGAGCAGCATTAAAGATGTGGCCCATATTATTTTTTCCCAGTTGGAGCATGTAAAAGGTGACATCAGTGAAGCCTGTCACTTTCTATACAAAATGACCATAGACTGAAAATAACAGAAGAAAAGAGAAAGAGGGTGTGAAATGTGACAAAGTTGAAGTAATGTTGGGAAAATGGGAAAAGACGGAGGAGATCAAGCAGTGGAAGTCTGATGAGTAGATCTGTTCTCTGTGGAGGTAAATACTTCAGAATGAACAGGCTGAGTTTATTAAATCAGTTGTTATATAAATTGCAAACTCTACAGTAATTAACCTCAAATGAATTAAGAGAAGTAGACAGATACCTAGCCTACACATACCTCTATAGTCCAAGTGATATTTCCCTCTTTACTGATGACAGAGCGTGTGTGTGTGTGTGTGAAAGAGAGAGAGAGAGACGCACACTAATTCAATCAGCACTCCTTTCTTCCACCCCACAAACTTCACTGAGCTCAGTGGCCATCTGATTATTAATCGGGGCAAAGTTTGACACGTTGTTGTGTTGTGTGACCACAAACGTGGACAGAAAACTGGTGCAGGAGCTCGTTAAACAATGCATGAGCGTGAACTGGGTACAATGACAGTTTTGTATGATTTAATTAGTGATAGAGATCAAGCTGGTCTTGCCATAAAAAAGTGCAGCTCAGGACAGAGCTGTCTTTTATGACTGGTTAAATGTCACTGTACCGGTTTGTCCTCACAAATGTCGCTCTCTGCAGATTTGGGAGTTTGGATGATAAATGTCATTGGATAGAGGCACTTTGCCCTTTAGGTTTCGTGAACTGACGCCCTCGTTCAAACTCACCCGTACAAGGTTGCTGACTGCCGCCTGCACCGCGGCCACTGGCACCGTCAGATCTGGGATGGCTTTACCGTCCACCTCCCCCTCCTCGTGCATGATGACCAGGTGAGAGATCTGCTGGGCCACCGGCTCCAGGATACTCTCGATGGTCTTGGTGTGAAACACCGGCATCGTGAACGACTTTTACCGCAGACTCGGCAGAATAAAGGCAGCTGGTAGTTCCAGCACCGAAGATCCCCTCTCTCCTCTCCTCTCCTCTCCTCACCGCCACCGACAGGAGGACGAATCCCGAGTTGTCAGCCCAGCCCCTGAGAGGAAATCCTCATACGTCTGTTCCCCCGGTGTGCACCGTTTCCTTTGGTGAGCACCTCGGTAAAGGCTGGACTCAGACCCTCGGTGTCCTCCGGTGGGAGCGACCCAAATCGTGACAGAAGGAATCACCGCCCTTCATCCAATCACAGCGAAGGGATGCAGCTGCCAAGCGGGTTGATGTTGGTGCGCACTGACGCTTTCCCTGCACGCACACGCATGCACACACAAATCATACACTCAGAGAGACACACACACACACCTACATCCACTGCAAGTGAGAGCTCTTCCCAAATTACGTCATGCATGCCAGTGGCCCGTAAAAGGAAAGTGCTGGGGGAACTTAATAGGAAGAGATCGTGAGTCCAAGATTTGGGAGATGTGTTTGGAGAGGAGGGGTATGAGATATACAACAGGAAAATGCTGTACACAGAACTGTGTTTGGAAGCTGCTCAATGCACACTGATAAAGGTCAGCTTCACATCTATGAAACCACAGGAGACACTGGCCATGTGATCAAGAGCTGCATCATAATTCTCAAGAAAACTGGCATGTGGTGGTCATGGTGTTTGTTTTTTATGAAGCTTCAAACCTGCACCCGACATATGATCCATGTTCATTAAAACTTGGGTCAGGAGTTCATGTCTCCAGGCCTCAATGTCCAGGTCTAAATAAAGCCCATGGATTCAGTTTGCTGCTGGCTGCTGCTGAAAGGAGTCTCAAAGATCCTGTACTGCTTGCACCCAAACACTGTTTATTCAACTTCTTTACTCTGACAGTGAGGATCCTCTATAATGGTTTAACACCCATCTGACAGGCTGCACTTGATATTGTGCATGCACTGTAGCAATTAATGCATTAAAGGTAAAAAAAAAAAATCCAGATTTATCCCCTACAGTATTTTTTGGCAGTATTGGCACTGATATGGGGTCTCTCTCTCTCTCTCTCTCTCTGTTTGCTGGTAGGGCTTTCCCTCCTCAAATCTAAATCTGTTAGTGAAACTGGAGACCCCAGCAGCAAAAACAATGGTATTTATAACCCCTGAGACCCAGTGTCAACCAGAGAGCCTACTGTAACAGCCAAGAGTCCCCAGTGTGTCTGTGTTTGTCTTAATGTGGGTGTAGACGAGCGGCTGCTATCCAAACCAGTGAGACTGGACTCTCTGGTGCACCCAGTTAGAATAGACTCTGTTACTGCCCTCTCCTCTCCTGTCCTCTCCTGTCCTGTCCTCTCCTCTCCTGGTCAGTTCCTTAATTGTCCTTAAAGAGGAGTAACACTCATACTCACAGAATCTCAGATCCATATATGGATTGAGGCATAGTAGGAGAAGCAGTAAAGTAAACAGGTGTCTGTGAGTAATCGAAGAGGAATAGGACAGATTCTGTTTGGCTCCAGTAGCCCTCCTGTGAACTATCTGTATATGCGGACCTGTCCAAACAAATTCTGATAGAAAGCATTGCAGGTTGCTTAGAGAGGTTTTAAAGTATGCTTTCAATAATGACCTGATTACCAGCTGGACTGTGGTTGTTCACTGCAGCACACCAGCACTTACAACTAATATTGGATCTCTCTGTGTTGCTGTTGTATATGTATTTTCACTGATTGATTGTTTGTCATGATTGAAACAGTAATGTTTCTGTGACTGGGCAACATGGTGATGCAGTGGTTAGCACTGCTTCTTCACAGCAAGGTTTCAGGTTCGAGCCTGGGCCTACCCGATGCCTGTCTGTGTGGGGTTTGCATGTTCTCCCTGTGCCTGCGTGGGTTCTTTCTGGGTACTCCAGCTTCTCACAGTCCAAAGACGTGCATCTTAAGGTGACTGGTGACTAAACTGCCCATAGAAGTGAGTGTGGGGGTGTGTGCTTGTCTGTCTCTAAGTATCAGCCCTGTGATAGACTGGTGACCTGTCCAGGATGTACCCCGCCTCTTGCCTAGTGTCACCTGGAATTAGCTCCAGCCCCCCATGACCCTCTTCAGGATAAGTGGTATGGATGTTCCTGTGACCCTTTTTTATTAAATACCTTCAAGAAATTTTTATAAATGTGTTAATTGAAGAAATGTTTAATTTGAATATTTCCATTTTGATTCATATGTGTGGATTAAACCTACATCTGTCTCCTGTTATAAAGATACTGCCTCAGATTCTACAATATGGCATCAATGTTTAGAGGCCACTAAAATACTTCATGTGATCCTCAGTATGTTTAAGGCTGCTGAGCTGCCTGCAGATAATTTGTACAAACAGCGCCCCCCTGTGTTTAACCTAAAGACTCTTTCACACAGGATATACAGTACTGTACAGTTAAAATGGCCTGAAGTGTGTGTGCACAGTATACAGTATTTTTTTTTATATGTGGTTGTGTGTGCTTGAAGAGTATACACATGAAAAGAGACAAACATTTGGAGTATATAGGTTCAAAAGCATGAAAAATATATTTTATATATTATAAAAATATGATCAAAAGCAGGGCCAGCCTTGTAAAAATGCTTATTAAAGTCAATTAGATAAATACATTATCTATAACTTGTTTTAAACATATACACTTTTAGCATGAAAAGCTCATGCACAGTTCATAAATATAGGTATTATACACTATATACATTGGAATATATTCAATCAAACACTCACTTTGAACTGTTACAATAAATCTTTGCTGAACAAAACTGTTTTTACTGTACATACAGTACTATCTTATCATGAAACCAAACCTGCTACATCTACAAATGCTGCCTATGCACAGAGCCTATAAAACTGCTGCCAAATGTACCTTTAGGAAAATGTAATGTCTGACATGTCACTTTCTGCCTTAGCTTCACTTGGGGGGATACATTAGTCCTTTTGTGAACTTAGAGAGCTTTGCTTTTTCTGCGATCCATTTGTTGTAGTTGGTGACCTGTGTGTAAACACCTGGTTTGTTCTTCTTGGCACAACCGTCACCCCAGCTCACCACCCCGAACAGAAACATCCGGCCAGACAATTCACACACCATTGGACCTCCAGAGTCGCCCTGTGAGGAGAGGACACAGGCAGCATAGAGGAAGGTTCCATTATACAGTTTGTAAAGGCTCATGTGGATATTGACTGTTGATAAATAAAGGAATGACAATTAGTAAACCTTTGTATCCTAATTTTATGATTCAGATCCTTTGGGCTTAAGCTTTTACTGTAGATTTTTTTCCAAATGGTTTTATACAAAACAAAGAGCAAACTTATTTGAATTTAGACAATGGCACTAAATTTGTTATTTAGAATAATAATACAGACATTTTGCAACAAAGAAGCTTTAACTGTTTCTCTCTCTCTCTCTGGACTCTTTGAAAGTCCTCTTTACCAGAGCATACCTGCACACATATTGGGTTCTTTGCTCACCTTGCAAGCATCAGTGCTCCAGTCAGGGCTCCCAGCACAAATCATATTCTCGGTGATTTGATCGCCATAGTGCAATTTACTTCTGCAGTCAGTCTGGGACAGCAGTCTCACCTCAGCCTGCTTCAGACGCTGTGAGAACTGCCATGCCCCTGCCGAAAGCATAATGTCACAGGTAAACATCAGTGAAACTACAGTGTTCAGTCATGAGTTTAATACTGAGAGGTTCTGTAGCTTTTACCGTTTCTCTCCTTCCCATATCCTGCAATGCTGCATTGAAATTTTGGAGGAAGCTGAGTGCGAAATGGAGGCAGACACACTGTGCGTACAGACGCTGACCTCACTGCACATCCACCAGCTCTGCTTCTGATCTTCAACAGTGCTGAAATATAAAGACACATATTGTTGAATACTGTGCACAAAGCACCTGCTCTATATCTTTTTCACTCACATATACACACAGTGTTATCTGGTCTCACCTATGTCATTGTCGAAGTTGGAATCATTGAATTTTTGGTGGATGATCAGTTTCTCCACCTGGAATCTCTGCTCCCTTTCAACATCTGTGTCATTAATGGCATTCTTCCCCAGATATACAAACAGGTCCTGGATTTTTCTTGTTTGCCTAATCAAAAACCAAACATAAAGGGTTAATACACACACATAGACCAGTGTGGAAATATATTGCACACCCATACAGTATGAGTCATATGAGAACTGCAGTGAAGAAAATGACAGCATGTTATGTTTTCTATGTTGTTCTCACCTCTCAAGGAAGCAGTGTGCAGCCGTCAGAACCCAGCAGGGTGCAATAAGAGAGCCTCCACATAAGAAATCATAATGCTGAAAAATAGCAGCCACCCATGGGTGCGACTCTATGGCTGTGAAAGAGCCACCCACAATTTTATGCATCCTCTTCTCTGGCCTCTCACCACATGTCAGCTCTGCTTAAATGAACAAAACAACTCAGTGAGTGATGAAGGAAATCACATAATGTCACTGAGAAATAAAGTGTACTGAAACAACAAAAGTACCTGTATCCACAGCTGGGGAAAGTTTTGTTGTTGGTGCGGAGCCTGTATTAGAGCAGAAAGTAGAGACCATCAGAAAAATCTAAATCAGTAACACAAATTTTAATGATTTTTTTTTTAAATCCCAGTCTCAGTCTTACATTTAGGTATACTGCAGAATTCCTTCACATTATTTTTCCCTCTTCTGACATAGCACCATGGCTTCAAGCTCTGGTCAGGATTCCTAGTGTTAAAATGCAAACACGTTAAACATGTTACACCGCTCCCTAATATACTGTATATAGGTGTCAGATTGGTGATTTATCA